TATTTTCATTTCCAAAGTGCACGCTTTTCATTATATCCCCAATCTAGTGTGCTGCAATGTGTCGCCTGCATGCTCTTTTTCAGCTAAGGAGAAATTAAATCAGTCCTGTTTGATGTTTCTTACATTCCAGGGTATTATATGCCTAAAGGCTAACCGAGACCAAATAGATCATCGTTCCTTGACAAATTCAGTTTTTCCCACCTTACCGAATGCAATTAAAAAATTAATACAGATTCCTTAATAATACAGGCCACATGTATGACAGCATTGTAGATTCTCAACTGGAGTGAGCAACCTTCTCTTTAAAAACAAATAAAGACATATTCTTTTTTGATGTTCTACATAATACAAGTTTATGGCAAGCTGTCACTTGCTTTCAGATTTAGCACCTAGAAACTACAATGATGGTTTCCTTAGAAATGCTGAAAATAGATTGGATAGATTGACTGATTGCATATCCCTTTGAATTATCATGAAAGCACCAAAGCAGCTCTGAATTATGCCACTAAAAATCTCAGTTCAAAGTTATATAAGTCTGAGTTGCTATAAATTGCTTCTTGTTGAAAGTTATATAAAACATTTTCAAATCTGTCATGTTCCACCTTTTCTGGATCTTTTTAAAAATATCTAAGAGATGGGTTTGTTCAGAGTTCTTTAAGGGGAAAGGAAAAGCAAACTATGGATCAGTTCTGTGCAGTAGGAGTGATGTAATTATGAAGGTTGCATTATATTTCACATCTAATGCAGGAATTCGACACTTGCTTATTTTCACTGAAAAGCACAATGGGCCAAATCCTGTTCCAGCTATTAGGTATCTAAGAGGCACTTAGGGGCACATTCAAATGAGTGTGCAGGTGCAAGACTCTTGAGGCATGGCAAAACGCACGTAGTCAAAAGGTTGGAACCAAAATTAGACACCAGGAAATCCGAGCATCTAAAAAAAGGTTTAAAAAGAAAACAGCGTGGTACACATGGCTGCAGCATGTGCCACTCAAAATCAGAGGCTGGTGAGCCAGTCACACTCTAGCTGCTGGCCAGGCTCCATATGCCTGGATCACTGCCGCTGCGGCCCCAGGAGGCTCCCAGAACCCCAGGTAAGGCTGATGAGGCCAAACCAAGTGCTGGCCTCAGCCTCCCTTACCCCACCCAGGGCAGTTTGCAGTGCAGCAAAGCATACATACAGAGGTGTTCCCCAGGTACAAGTAGCAGCAGCACAACTACTTGCCACTGCTACTTGTCCCTAGGGAAATGCACATGCACGCTCATCTGGACACACCCTATGAGCACGTTCACACATGCAGGCACGTGCACTTGCAGCAGCTCAAATAGGAATGGCACAAATTTGAACTAGGGACTTTTGCCTCAGCGCACATGCCCAGACATGCATGTTGGTATGGGGCAAATTGTGGTACCTCAGGCAAAATAACCCTGCACAGCTCCTCCCAGATCTGCAGGTAGGGGAAACTAGAGCCTGGGGCCAGCACCCGTGCTGGCCCCAGCAGTATAAAAAACCTGCCCTGTGCTGGCCTCAGCAATAGAAAAACCTGCCCTGGTGAGCAGTTCAGGGCTACTTACCCTCAGGAGCTTCTGAGGGCCAACCACTTGGTATCTGGGGACACAACCCCTTGTGCCAGCTGGACTGCTGAAGCAGCCTTAACCTGGAGTGGCCCCTGCCCCCTCTACCCACTGCAGCAATCTGGCAATGGGGAATGCTCCCTGGCTGTGACCTGTGTCACCTGTGCTGCCACCTGCTGCCACCTGTGCTGCCCTCTTGGACCTGTGGCCCCAAGGCTGCTCCCCTGCCAGACCCAGATGGGGTGCCCCTGCTCAGTAATCTGGGCAGCTATAGCCCAGAAGATGTGTTTCTTGTTGTGGCCCACTTTGAACTGTCAAAGCATGTCCTCTTGGCCCCAAATGGCTTAGAGGTCAGACACCTAATCTGCTCTCCAGCTGGGTCCCCAGTGCTGGCCCTTGACAGGCTCCTCTGCCCAGGTCTCCACTTACCTCATCAGCAGAGATCCTTGTGTTCCCTGTTCCTTGTGTGCCTGTTTATGAATTGCAAATACTTTGATAAGTAACCCAAATTCTCTCATTAAAATACCCAAAACAGCTTTCTTCCACTATTAAAATGAAATGTCACTATACATAGAGAGATCAGTTGAGCAATGTTTTATTGATATATTTACAA